ATCTTATTCCACATTCATGCCTATAGGACGTGACGCACAGGTAACCACATACACATGGTCTAAAAACCGTAAAACACAAAATCCCGAAAGACTAAAATACAATGTACTATGTACCAATACAAATGTATGTCCTAAAACACTACACTCTGGTGTGCATCTATTTGCCAAATAGTTTGCTTGATATGTAAAGACCCAAAGTTAGATATACGTACGAGTACCTGCCATTATGCTCGAGTCGGTATGTGCTCACGAAGCGTGCGAGTTGACCCGACCCTGACATGAACTTTAAACAACCTGCTGGATCCAATTGCAAACTCCTTCACTCTGAGGTCACGGTATGTTCGCCTGAGGTTGTCTCAATTATATCAATACTGGGAAGGATTTGGACAACGCCATTTGGTAGAAAGTGATCGATGCGTAATCGTGTACCTCTGTCGTGCGGGTCACTTTAAGACTCGGTCACAAATGTCGTGTTATCGTCGCACGATCGCAAGATATCAGGCGTATTGACATCACCATTACGTTCAGTTTTGAGAGAGAAATTATTTGCCGTCAGTTACTTTGCTTACCCGATTGGACACAGGAAGGGTAGAACGATTTAACGCCCCGATGACAAAAAGTGGCCGGCGAAGGTAATGACATCATTCAACAAGAGTTCCACAATCTCATACCTTCGCCAAATGAGGTTAACCCTTGCGGGTGACGAATTATACAATTTTAATCATTGATTTTGTAAATAAGAGCCTCATTTGCATGAACTATGTCAGTTGATCATATTCTTCATCCAATGACAGCCTTATCATAACAAAAAGGCTATTTTAGCACTTCCTCATAAATTATGCAAATGAGGTCATGATTTGAATAAATCATGTTTGTTGATGTTCACCTTCACTTAACTTCCAAATGTGGCAAGTATGAAATTCGGGGTGCAGCAGTTACAACTATGAAATTATAAGAATTTTCCATTAATTATGCAAATTAGGTCCTCATTTACATAATATATATCCTCAGATGTTTTTCTCGTTCTCAAGTAGATGTCACAAGTGTTTCATAGTTCTATTATCGAACAAAGCAGAGTTATAGAATTTCCTAATTAATTATGCAAATTAGCGCCTGATTTGCATAATTGCCATCTGATCATGTCAAGCATCACTTATACTACTTACATACCAAAATCACGACAATACGTCAACCGGTTCTTGAGTTATCGTCCTTCAAATTTTTTTCAACAAATGCTCCTGCAGTTCCAGAACAAGGCGCTAGGGGACCCAAACTCACGTCACTTCTTCCCTACCACAAGAGCTATCTACCAACCAAAATTCGTGACCCTAGCATGTCCAGAACATGAGATATAAAAACCGGAAGTTCAGCTGCAGTACCTAGGAAAGCCGCCAGGGGGCCCAAAATCTAATCATTTCTAGGTCTCATGAAGACCTACCCACCTACCAAGTTTCATTCCAATCCATCCACTGCTTCTCGAGTTATCTTGCTAAACCACACACA